TTGTTTTAGAATAGGTCTGTTTTGTTTTAGAAACAGGACTTAACGATTTAGGTGGATCCGCCACTGGTTTCGAATGTGTCGGCTTCGGTTCAAAAATAGGAGTTAATAAATCATTTTTTGAATGTTGTGGATCACACAGCGTCTCAACTTTAGTTTCAATTGTAGGGTTATTGTTTGATATTTCCATAGTGTTTGTAAGAGGCTTTAAAATTTGTATATCCTGTATGATGTTTATTTTCTTTGCAGGCAATTTGGTTAATTTACCTTTCCTTTGTGGCCGTTTCTTTTGTACCGCATTCTTTTTAGCCACCTTTTTTTCTTCTCTTTCCTTCTTTCTCTTTGCTTTCTCCTCTTCAACTAGTTTTTTTTTTACCTAATTTATCCTCTGTGATACTTTTCCAAGTGTTTGATGTTACAACAAATGGTAAGCGTTCCACATTTCTTTTATTTTTTCTTTTTGGTGATTCGGGCCAGTACAGTATTTGCGATATTGCTGAATTGTCATGTTCTCTGTTACCATTTTCAGACTCGTTCTTTAATACAATTTCAACATTGGCGTCATAATTATTCAATGCATCTGCCACTTCTTGGTCTTCAATATCTTTTAATCTGTTCGGTTGACTAAATATATTTAGCTGTAAATTTGTTTCAGTTAATGGATATGTTACTTCGTCACTATTACTTCTATCATCTTCCAAAATATCCATTGGTACCACTTCCTGGTTTTCAATACCTGTAGTAAAACTGTTCGTTTGACTAAATATATTGAGCTGTAAATTTGTTTTATCTAATGGAGAAATCACTTTATCACCAGTATTTTTATCATTTTCCAAAATATCCATTGGTAAATTTTCGATATCATATTTATCATCATCATCTGTGAAGAATCGCCATAATCTATTTAGAGATTCAGCTTCACTGCTTCCAGTAAGTTCATTTCCAGATTCCAGAAGATTTGACGCATTATGTCCAATTATTTGTTTGAATGTTTTGAAATCCATTACTTTGGTTTCAATTAGTTGCTCTCCGTTACTTTTGTCTGGCCTCTCAACAATGTTAATAGTTCCACTAATACCACCTAGACATTTGGAGTAATCAATAGTGTTACAATCCCAAGGAAATAGTCCAGTTGCTTTAAATCCGTTGATTAGTGTGGTCTTTTGTACAAAATTGTCTACTACCTTACTAAGCAACGGAGCAAAGTTTTCCTTTGTAAACTGTAAATTTGGATGCTCTCGTTTCCACTCTAGAATTCCTTTTTGCCAGCCTGACTTTAAAGGCTTAAATGCTGCTACATCCGCAGGTTGCAATAATCTAGTGGCATTCGGATATAGTGCTACAAGTATAATACCCAATTGATTACATAACTCACTTATTTGCAAAGTCAGATGAGTCTTATGACCGTCGACAAAGAGTATTACTGGCTTTTCAATGTTGTTCTCTACCAGATATTTATTAAATATATTGGCGATATACTCATAAAACAGAGCAGATTTCATCCACCCATTGTCTGAATAGCCCAATCCCCATTTATCTGGTACTGTTTCCAGAATTTCCTTTGGTGGCTTGCGTTTGTAAGGGTACATTATCATTGGAGGTGTGACATCGCCATTTGCACAAAAAGTAAACATTACTGTTAAGGACGTTTTAGCATTACCCTGGTCCACTTCATATACATTTCTGGTGCCGCGACAAGTAAGAACTTTTTTGTTTTTGGGACATAATAAGAAGTTTGTTTCGTCACCGTTAAATATCCTGTTATGATCTTGAAGAATATGCTTATGCCCCAAATCATCCAATTCTCCCTCTATAGTTTTGAACCAGTTTTTTATATCTTGTTCACTAATACAGGCACTTGCATTAGTAACCGCTTCAGGTGTCCTTAAACATAGCTGTGGGTGTCTTTTTATAAATGCACGGTACCACCCCTTTCCAGGTAGTCCATTACGAAATGGCGTTTTTCTTTGTGACTGGTTAATGAAATTTTGCACACTACTCTGTAAATCCTCAATTCTTCTTGGAAACCCTTTCCGCTGACATGTTAAAATCCATCTGAAAATATACCTATTAGGGTATGACCTAGATACCTAAGCGTATGAAGTTGGATTTTACGTACTTAACAAGTTGATCCTCTTCTTCTTTGGTAAGGTAAGTGGAAGGTCCATTACCAGGTTTTTTAAACTTGTTTCCCATTCTAAACTGAATAGTAGATCGTGCTACTCCATACTTTACTGCGGCTTTTTGTTTGGACATAGCACCACTTTCAATAGCTTCAATAGCCAATTTAAGTCTCTCTTCTCTTCCTTCCATTATTAGGTAGGTGCCTGCCTTAAAATACCTACCTACAAATAATCCTTACTTAAGTACCATTAAAGATAAAGCTTAAAGATTACACAACATGTTTCCAGTATGCCAACGACTAAAATTAACAATTTTCACAAAGGGATAGTAGTTGGCATGGTTATGCCAACCACTGTAACAAGTAACGTTTAATAGTATATAGTAGTTGGCACCCTATTATTTTAAGGTTATGTTAGTAAATAACATAATTTTATAAAAGAAAATAAGCAATAAATGATGCAGAAACATATAAATAATTTTTAACAAGTATTGAATTTACCAGTAATTTATTAAAAATACTTACCCAACCTGATACGTTACACTACAATCACTGTAAAACTAATCTTTTAGTGTGACTCGCAAAACGCGCCAATCTATCTGACAGTTATGACACTTATAAACAGTCTTACCAACCAGAAAATGTGTAATTCAGTACAATAGTTCGCCAACTTTTAGATGAAAAAATTCCCATTACGAAAATATTTAGTTTACTCTATTTATTTTCCGCTTATATTCGAACATGCCAACTAATATGGTAGTGCCAACGACTGTCGTCTAAACTAAAACTTGTACAGGCATCGCAGCCTAATTTGTCTGAAGAGGGGATGCGCGTTAATCTCGAATTTCAATTGTCAACGCCTGTCAACTGTAACTGTTAAAGAGAGATGCAGACAATAACCGTGTTGCCAGGGGCGATCAGTAGATGATAATATTTTCTTGAATTTGTGTAGCGTGCAGATTTTGAGTTATATTTTATTTTTATTTGTTTATAGTGTTTTCTTTTGAGTAGTGACTTACTTGTGTTAAAATGCCGAAACATTTAGGGCCACTAGATCAATCGGCTGTTAAAGTGGCTGGTAACTATAACCTCTTGGTAACTAAAAAAATCGTTAGATTAATGTGTTGGCATGGTGTACCTAGCGGATATAACTGCATACCAGGAGGTTAAACTACCAGCTGCTATTTTCGGCTGGCAAACGTTTAACAACGGGTTTCTAACCTCAATTTTGATTTTTGGCACATGCGTTTTATATGTTGTTTAATTTGTGTTCTTGATATTTGATTTGTTTAATTTTTGTGTTTGATATATTTGATTTATTCAAACCAGAAAATCTGTAGTATGGATATTAATATATTTTCAGACAGTGAAAGTGATAATGAGGTAGAGGATTATTATCAAGTAGTTCTAAGAAAGCCCTACACTGTCAGAAATCGAGTTGATCATATGAACTTTTGGGATGATAATGAATTTAAAATTAGATTTCGTTTGAGCAAAGATGCCGTTAATGAGTTACTAGAACTAGTTGGCGATATTATTCGTTTCCCTACGCAAAGGTATTAAGTGTTTAGTATTTTAGCAAAGATACTTGATGTGAATTTTGTTTATACATTTTAAGTATGTGTTTTATATTTCAGAAATAACTGCTTGAGTCCTCTTCAGCAACTGCTTATTACATTAAGGTTTTATGCTAGTGGCAATATGTTAATAGCTGTAGGAGATTTTGGAGGGGTACATGCAACTACAGTTACATATATAATAAGAAGAGTTACCCAAGCCATTTGTCTTATTAAAGATAACTACATAAAAATGCCAGATGAACAAGAGGTACCTGTTATTCACCATGGGTTTTTGGAGAAAGCAGGATTCCCAAGGGTATTATTAGTTATTGATGGAACTCATGTTCGTATACAATCCACTGGAGGAGATCTAGCTGAAAATTATAGGAACCGGAAAGGGTGGTTTTCATTAAACGTCCAAGTTGCTTGTGATCACACATTGACAATAAGGAATGTAGTAGCAAGGTGGCCTGGTGCAACACATGATAATACGATATTTTTAAATTCTCGTTTAAAACGAAAATTTGATGAAGGAATGGGAAATTCATTAATTTTAGGTGATAGTGGTTATTCCTTACTTAAATACTTAATGACACCTGTAGAAAACCCACAACTTAGAAAACAAATGTTGTACAATGAGGCCTTGATTCGAACTCGAAATTGTATAGAGAGATGTATAGGAGTGTGGAAAAGAAGGTTTCCGATACTTGCTCTTGGGTTACGTGTTGTTATGCCAACAGTACAAGATATAATCATAGCAACTACTGTGTTGCACAATATTGCTCTCAAACGAAATGAAGGTGAATTAGAGGTAGATGAAGAAATTGAAAACATGATTAACGAAAATGTACCAAATCTCAATGATAGAAGATATCCAGAAAATAACAGTTACCGTAATGAACTTATAAATGAGTATTTTGCTCTGCTGTAAAGTTTCAATCAATAAAAATACAGTATTTATAAAAATTAATTTAGCATTTATTTAGAATTAATAATACAATATTAATTGTACTATTGCAAAAGACTACATATTAAATTATAATTTTAAAATAAATACAGAAAAATTTTACTGCTTAACCTAGGCGCAAAACAAACAAAAAATCAAACGAGCAAGTTGATTAACTTGAATTAACGATAAAAATTATTTCAAATAATTTAGTTATATACCTATTTATCTACCTACCTATATTAATATATTGTTTTCTATAAATTTTCTAAAACTAAACCTTTACTTAAATATACCTATAACTAAACAAATCTAATATAAATATATATAACAATTAGAATCTAAAGTCACTTTGGGACAGAATTTTCTTTAATGCATTGGCTTTAATATCTTTTTCCAATGCCTTTATTTCATTGTCTAATTCTGCCCCTCTCAGTTCCTCCGCAAGTTTGCGTAATTTAAGTGCATGTTCTTTTTTTTAAATTCTACATCTAATTTTAAAGACTCTGCCTGTAAATCCATGACCACTTTTTTGGACTCTGCCAGAATTGTGACTTTTTCAGTGGCTTCAGGCCGTGACACAATTCTTCTTCGTTTAACTGCAACAAAAATATAATAGTTGTACTTAGTCCTAGTTTATACTACATGTATTACATTTTACAAATATTGAGAAATATGTAGGTACTACAATGTGGAAGATACTATAAATATAATCCACAAAAATCATACCTGAGAGAGGCGTCGACACATTTCTTTTCAGATCAGAAGGTTTCCACTTTGTCCAACTTCTTTTCTGGTCTTCGGTAGTGAATTCCCGACTAGTCCCTGCACGAACTTGATGTTTTGCACCATCATCCTGAGAATAAAACAAATTAACTCACTGGCATATATTATCAGTACAATTTTAAACAAGGCCTTTAATTTTAAATTATTTCTTTGTTGTTTAAATCTTACCGCTGTCATAGTGTTGTCAACCACTATTTCAATATTTTCTACAATCTGCATATTTGCTATTGTGTCATCGTCATCTTCATCATCATCATTATTAATATTTCTCTGGATATTATTGACACCTGAAAGAAAATGCATTTATATAGTGATATCTTAATAATCAGGCAGAGCTCATTTATTTGAAAAACAACATTTTTTAAGTAAACATAATTGCAGCCACTACATATATATGTCTATTCTATTGTTACTATGATGAATGGTACATTTTCAGCTCATCAGAAGTGAAAAATAAAACAACTCGACTGCTATTTCAGTTGTAAATCGCAGTCGCTTGAGTTCAAACCTTTTCGTCTCATAGGGACTAGTTAAAACACTTTTTAAATCATTACTTTACTTACCACAGGGTAAATCATCATCATCAAAACGACTTTCTAGCCCATCCACACTTATGGATATCAATCCATAAATTTTATACTCGTTAGTGGAAAGATCTGGTTCGGTCCAAGGTCCTCCTCCTGTTCCATAGAGAGCTTGTTTTTGCGCGGCAACCTTCTTTCGCAAATCCTTTTTAAATCCTTCGTATTTCGTCCTTAACGACGTTGCCGGCCTACAACTGTGAACAGTTTCTGTGTTAAATTCGGAACAAATTTTGTCCCAGCATTATTGTTTTTCGGCCCAAGTTACTGCATCAGTTTTCTTATTTTCTATTGTGGCCTTGTATTTGACCACTAAATTGCAGAGTAAATCAATTTCCTCTCTGGCAAAATTTGCACCCTTTCTTTTTTTCATATTTTCTCCTTCCATTTCACAATATTTAAATTTTTTGCAACAAAATACAAACTAAAAACCAAAACAAAATTCTAAACGATAACATAACCTATAACCTGTAAATGCCTCGACATATTATTTCAGAATGGCCAACAATTTTTCTTTAACTCAAAAGTAACTGATACTTTGCCAAACACATAAAATTTGAAGTGATCTAAGAAAAAATTTATAACAGTAACTTTACCAGCAAGAGTCAAATTTATCCTCTTGGTACTTTATTTGTACACAAACAGGAGATTGATCTAGTGGCCCTTAGGCAGTCAAGCAAAGGAAATAATATTTCATCTATTCGAATATTTTATGAAAAAAAAAAAAAAAGTTCCTCGGCAACAAATAGTTTTGAAAAAAAAAAACGATGATAGTGAAACTTATAATGTGTTGTGAACGAATGTGTTGTGAACGATGATCCCAAAACTCTCACTGAAATTAAAGAACAAGTTGCTGAAGCTACAAATTTTTTTTCTTTTATTGAATAAACGAGAAGTTAATATTAAAATATTTTTATTATCTTACAATACATGTAGGTTATTCAGGAATTTTTATCATTGAAACTATAGGTTTATGGTAATTAAAATAAGAAACATAAGTTTGAGACTTGATATCCTCTAAATATCTGGAAAATACCGTGTCAATGATGGTCCCATATTTGGTTGTGGATTCTTGTGGATCATTATTCATTTTCAAATTCAATTTTTCCGAAATTGTGTCTAAAAGATATAGAATCAGTTATGAGCAGTTAGCAGCTAGTATACACGCATAAGTCTAGTCGCACGCACACAAACACCGTGCCGAAGTCTGCCGAACTGAAACGACGTTAGACGATGCACGGCTTTCAACGCCGCACCGCTGTGCCGGTCGGAGTGGGGGGTGTTAGGTTTATTTTCGTTACGGAATTTCTTTTTCGATTTTACGATTTTTCGATTTTTTCGATATTTCGATTTTCTTTTATTGAATAAATGAGAAGTTAATATTGTTTAACGCCGCACCGCTCTGCCGGTCGGAGTGGGGGGTGTTAGGTTTTTTTCGTTACGGAATTTCTTGATTCGGTCGCCGCGCTCAAAGCCCGCGATAAAAGCTATGCAATAGCTTAAAAAAATTGTTTGAAGACAATTGAAATTTTGAATGTACCCCTTAAAGAATAAAGATTTACAACTTAAACTCAACTAAATATTTTAGCCCATGAATTCACTCTCACCACTTACGCATGGACTGGTTATCGATAATGTTTCAAAGTTCATCAACGTCCACATGCGTCACCGTTCCATCTTCACTATGGACGCGCAATTTGTCACCTGTAGATATCTGCCGAACTGAAAATACATCAGGTTAAAACGAGGTTCTATGCATATATTACGCCAAGTGATAGATATGAAACCCAATGGTAAAATTATTAGGCGATGTGGCGCCATCTATCAAATTGGTCTGGTACTAAATTCAATATGGCCGATAGTGGCGGGCTTTTTAAAATTAAAATTTTCATTAATTTTCACTAGTTTTATCCGAAAAAATAATAAAGACAAATAAAAATGAAATATAAATTGCCTAACTTATTTTAAAGTAAAAAAAAAAGCAATTTATAGGAACATTTCTATTTGTATCCATTAAGTTTTTGAATGAACAGCATGATTTATAAATTAAAATAAAAAACAATGTTATTTTCTAAATTTCTTTTTATTGTACTCTAATGCCGCGATATATAATTTGTCTAATTTTACATGGGAACGACCAGACAAATTATTATTAACACCATTTACATAATTATATATTATTAAAAGAACAAATTTGTTAAGTAAAAAATCATGAATGGTTTCAGAATGTTCGCATTCTGTAAATAAACATTAATTTTATTTTTACAATAATGTTGAATATATTTAACAACATTTCTCTCATGTGCTATATTTAGCAAAACAGACAGAACTATATTATAGGCATCGGCCAAGCCAAGAATAAAACTTGGTTTACAATACCTTAATTTATTGGGGATATTATGTTTATATTCCTTGGCTTGACAGATTGCATGCCATTCGACTTTACATTTTTAGCTCTAAAACCACTTACATAACCTAATGCGCTTGGGTAATACTATTGAACATATAGTCATTCACATGAAATGCTGATAATTGATCAAGGCATACAATTTCTTTGTTTCGGTTAGCAAACTGCTGTGTGACAAATGTTTTAACGTCATTAATAATATTTTCAGAATCACAATATTCTTCACAATTTGACGATATTGAATGTTTGTTGACAAAATTATTAAGTAATTAAAATATTTTTTAAAATTTTGAACGGTGGGAATTATGTTACGCCCCCCATGTTGCCTCATTTGACCAAAAAAGTTTTCCAATGCATCCTGATTTACTTCTCTAGGCTTAAAATAACTAATATTAAATGTTTTGGCCAAATGAGTATACAAGTATTGCAAACCACATAATGTGGTTGTTCAATTTTGTAATGAAGGAGGGCGCAACTTTTTCCCATTTACATCAACAAAAAACATGCATTCTAATTGACATCGTGCTTAAATCCAGTGCACAACATGGCCAATGGTTTTGGAAACAGCACATTTCAATTTCTTAGCTCCTTGAGGTCTGAGGGTATGGCCATTAACACTGTTAAATAACCCATCAAAAAAACTAAGAATTGCTGAGGTTCCCAAAGATTCAGAATTAAGCTTCTTTTCATTTTCTGTTGAAAGTCCTACAAAAAAAATTGTCACCTTAATATTTATATACTGTGCCATATACAGTGTTTGCTAACCAACATTTTTTAATACGTTTGCGTATGTCCAAGTGAAAACTACAGAGTAAGCATTAGTGATAGCAAGGAAATGAATAATATCAACGTATTCAGCTGTCAGCTGGTCGTGTAGAAGTATATCTCACCGTCTGCATGTTCACATTACACAGCGCACAAGGCAACGTCGTTGATAATATTCGCATAATGCTCTTACTAATATTAACTCTTTATTTTTCGCTTCGACACTAGCAAACTGTATTGGAGGTGTTCAATAGCCGATACTGTATAAATAAATGTCTTTAGCAAGGACAATATTTAAATTATATGAAACTGTGTTTGTAAAATGTAATAGGTAAATAAAAAAATCAATAATACAAATTTGTTACCTGCAAGAGTAAAAAGTTCTATTATCGATGCCATTGTACGACTAAAAACTTGGGTGGCATAGGACACTTTCACCTGTATCTACAAATCCATCGATATTCATCCTGTCAGCATCCACATTAAGATGAGAGTCAAGGGACATCTCGTCAAAAATTAGTAATGCTACACGTTCTCTTTCTTTTAGTTTTTCAACCGATTTTTTTTTAAATGTATGAAAATTGTCATTAATTCTCTTTCTGCTTGGGATAGTTCTCAAAAAATTCAATAAAGTTTTAGGACTTGGTGTAGCAAATAAATCGGAAAATGTTTTGTAAGCCTTTGCACTCTGCTTTTGTAGGATTAATGCCAAAACTTTATCTACTAAATTGTAACGCCGACCTTTTGGTGTCTTAGGGTTAAGGCGAAATTGAGTTTTGATAAAATTCGCCATATGCTTGTCAAGGCCACCCGTTAGATTCAACAGATAATTTTCTGACATTATTTTTGTGAATTCTTTTCATTTTCTGAGCATTTCTGTAAATGAATCTGGCTTTTGGACTTAATTCATGCAAATATTTGACCCCTGAGCCTCTCAATAATAATTGACGAGAATCTAAAAGCAAATACATATTTCATTTAAATTTAGTATAGTTGGCCAACATTATCTAATTATGAATTATGCTACTCAAAATAAGATTGCCTACTTAAGAATAAATCAATTAATATTAATAATCCTTTAATCACAGCCAAAAGAGGCAGATTAGTTTAAATTAGTGAAACAAATTTGAATAAAAATACCATTAGTTTCCTAAATTATTAACAATTGTATAATGATTAGCAATAAAAATTACAAGATTAATTCTAAAACTTTTAAAAACAGAAAACATTTAAAATAAACTTACATTTTTTGTATCTGCGTTTTTGGACCCTTGAAGTGTTTGGGGTGACTAAATATTCATTTTTTGAAGCCACATAAAACTCTACCAATATACCAAATTTCAGCAAAATCGCATATACGCCGTTTTAAATTTATATGGGAAAAACGATTTAAAAATTGTAACTTCAAGGCCCTCTGGAACCCAAACGAATCAACTTTGTACTAAGGTAATTTTACTTAAATCGACTTATTTTGGTCTAAGGAATATGTGGTATGTTTTTGTAAAGACCTTTTACAGACACCCTGTATATTTTTATTTTTCGATATCGTCTAGAATGAGCCACCGTTTGTGAATCATTAATATCATTATGTAAAGGGTTTTTATATTTAATGTATTAAAAATGAATCAGTATTTCTCGGACCTTCAAACGAAAAACATATCGGTAGTGCGCGTGCGATTTAATATAGTGCTGTTTATTTATTATTAATAACATTGTTATAGAGTGTATTTAGTGTGTGATGTGTGTGCCAATGGTGCCGAATAGACACATAAGGTGAGTATTATTATTTAATTGTCTTCACTTAAATCCAAAGAAAATGGAATTTTGTCCAAAAGAACTCCCCTTATTTGGTAGACTTCTATAATATATACCTCACTGATTCCAGAAATCGAACAGATTTCTTTATCCAGTAAAGTTAAGGTCTACACAAGAATTTTTTTACAAAATTTCTGTAACCAACGCTAAGCGTCTTTGGCAAAAGCACAAACGTCTGATTGGACATTGTAGCCAAGTTTATGGTTTTCTTAACAATAGTAATGCAATCGTTCTCATACAAGATGTAAAAATCTAACAACCGCGCAATAAGTAAATCGATATTTGTAAAAGTTGTAAACCGGTTTTTTTTTATTCATCATTTTACAAATTTAACTCATAGGCGTACAGAAATAAATTTATATACCATAAAAACGTATAAATTATTAGTAAATTTACATTATTTAATTTACTTTAAAAAAGTTTGATAAACTGTAATAAATTTTAAATAAATTGAGGTAGTAATCGGATGAAGCCTTTTTAATGAGTTTTTCAACTATTATTGAAAATAGGTAGGTACCGTAAACATAAACATTTTCATCTTTGAAAGACTATCCCCAACACATGAAATGTTTTCGAATGGAAGTGTATTTTTTTTAGGTTACTTTAGGCTAAGCAGAATCGGATGGTATGTATAGATTATTAAATTAACAATTTAATCAGGTTATTTTCTAGACGCCCCACGGGCGAGGCGGCTTGAAAAGTGCTTGTTTTTCAAGTTGTGTTCAAGTAAAACGTATAGCAGAAGTAAAAAGAAGTTTAAATTAGGTATATGCGATAACCACAACATATAATTAAATAAACTAAACAGTGTCAAACAAAACATAAAAAGGAACAAAAATGTCATGGTTAATAGCAAAAATAAACATACAGATAAATAAATATTTATACAGGGTGTTCGATAAGTACGGTACATAACTTCAGGAGCGTATTCTGGAGCTAAAATAAAGTTATTTTTGTCATATACACTATGTCTCAAAAATGCTTTGTTACGGAAATACAGGGTGTGGAAGTTTCATAAAAAAATAAAAAATTTTTAAATATTTCTAAAACCACTTGAGATATTTTAATTAAATTAATCAACCTTAACTGCACTATT